GCCTGCCTCCCCGTTACTGGATCCTTCTGAACGGTCTTCGTGGTCCATGGGCAAGAGGTGATGCTTCAGCCTGGTCCCCTCAAGGAGAGAGAAACACCAGCCCAATTTAAAAGCAGCTGGCTGAGAAAGATGTGTTTCTCGTGACTGAGAAGAGAGTGGAAGGTGTCTCTACTCTACCACCAGGCCCTTTGGAGAAAGAAGCCATATTCGGGGAGCGGAGGGTGCCGCTGATGTTGTTTGGGGCTGTATGTTCTATCTTCTGGCAAATGCCTGACCAGTCACAAGCTGTTCACCGCGGCAGCATCCAGCCCGGGGCCCTACCCACAGCCCTGGATGCTGGGGTGTAAGGAGGGCCCTGGGGAGCAGCCACTTGGGCAGCCCTGAGTTAAACCGAGTGGCTTCCTCAGCCTCAAGTTCGGGGGAGCAGGGAAACAGGAGCCCCCCAAAATGTCAGACGGGCTTTGACTGATGGAGGCAAAAATGGCTCTCTGTGTGCCTTCCATTGCCAGGATGGAGAAAATCAAAGCAAAACAAAACAAAATTGCAGTTCTGCAGAGAGCCCGCGGGAGCCCGGGAGCCTTGACTGATGTTAGCGAGAGCCGCCTGCCTGGGGAGGAAACGAAACAAGAGACCTTCAAACGAGGTGAGATGCAGTGGAAGTGGGCAAGCAGTGACCTGTCCTAGCAGTCTAGAGGCAGCAGGGACACTAAGCTGATCCCTCTGCCACTGTCCCTCCCTCACCCCAGAAGCCAAGAAAATGGAAAATGGACCCCCCCCCTGCACCCCACACCACCACCCCCTTCCTGAGCACGGGTGTCATCAAAGTGCCTTTCAGTCTGGAATGTATGCTCTGAGTTGAAAATGCAGACCTCAGCTTGGACCCTCCCCCATTTACTGAATAAAAACAGCTGCCTCCCCCACCCCCAATCAAGAAGCGCTCTTGCTATTGGGGCCCTGGCGCTCTGGAAATCGAAGGGTTTCTTAAATGGCAATTTCTGCCCTTTCCGTTTAGAGATCTTTCCGGAAAAAAATAAATAAAATAAAATAGCTTCCCCAAAGGGCCAGGTGGCGAAAGGAGAAAGGACTTCCATTTTTTATTGTCAGAAAGGAAATAAAATATCGTTCGAAACTGGTTGCATTTAAATTGGACTGGATTTTCCCTTTCCTTGAGTTGGGCCAGGTTGAGGAAAACAATGTCACCCCTTGGCGATCGACCACGGAGATGGCTCTGTTTCATCCAATCATTGGTGTGCAGGGCGTGACAGATGGCTTAACCTTCCTAATTGGGGCCCAGACTGTCTGAATTAGTGACAAGACTGAATTATGGTGCTTTTAAGAAAAAGAAGAAGAGAAAAGATTCCATTTTAGTTCTTTCAAGTTCGAGAAGCATTGACACTCCTTGTCTCCCCAAGTGCTGCCCAGGGAAGTCTTCCTGCGGTAGCTTCTAGAAGCTAAGAAAAGAATGGTGTGTCGCCTGGGGTGCTGGGCAACCTCCCCTGTAGGGCCCGTGTGCCTTCCATTTCCAGGATGGAGAAAATAATCCACAACCTTTGCAGGCATCATTTGCGTGCAATAATTTCCCCCAAACGAATCATTCTGTAAAGTGGTGGGGGTGCAGGGGGAGTTAATAAAGTCCAAAGGGTTTAGTCTCACTTCTTCGTGGGGGGACACATCTTCATTCAGCCCCCTTTCATCTGCTCCGGTTATTTTGTGCCTGATGAATGTTGCTGAGATGACCACACAGCAGAGCGACCACCATGCCACGGTCTCTACAGCTCCAGGTGGCGACATTGATGGCGACCCTTGCGAGGAACAGCCCTAAGCATCCTCCTTCTCTGTGTGGTCCCCCCCCCCCCCATTCACAACATCTCACGGCCCTGGAAAGCTCCCGCCTTGTCCGTGTTGCAGGTCGCTGTGGGCAGTCTGATCCCACATGGCTGTCTTAAAAGAGGACAGTGCTCAAGGTCGACATACGAGGCTAACCTCTTCTTTGGGTGTTAAAGGGAAAAAAAGATGGCAGGGTGTGTTTTTGGTTTACGGTTTCAGCATTAGCTCAGGGTACTGCCTCGGGGGTTCATCCAGCCTCCATGGACCCCAAAAGGCTGGCTTCCACGAGAACTGGAATGTCCTCTTGGATCGGGATTCTTTTGTGTCCAGTAACAGTGGCCCAGCACCATCCACTCCTTCTGGTCTCCTGGCCAAGAGGCAATTGGTTGATCGTGGAGGCAATCGGCTGCTCTCTCCATCCCACCCCCCTTTCCTGGCGCTCCTTCTGCCCCTGCTGCTCCTGATGAATAGGGACTAATTGCTGTAAGTTCAGCTTCACTTCCGAACAACTGCCATGTGGTCCAGGCCAATAAAAGCTGACTGGTCTTGGGCTTCTCTGTGTTTACATAAGCGTGGCACAATGGACAATGAGGACGAGAGGAAGTGGTGGGAACCTTGGGTGAAGCATCCTTCCAGTAAGTAGATTCTTACAGGGGGGGATGGGGGGGGCACATGACTCAGCTTCCTGCAGCACAGATGCTAGGATGTCCAGGTGTTGGGGGCCCCCGACGCTTGGCACATTTTATGGGGAATGGCTGTCCCTGTCCACAACAAGCCTTGGGGCAGGGACACCGCCTCACCCTCAGGACACAAGTCCACTGAGACGCCTAGAAACGCAGAGGAAGGGTCTCCCTGGTGACGGCCGAGTCACCGGGTCCCCTTCCTCCACCGAGGAGGGATGTGCTGCCATTTCGACAACTGACACCTACAGGAGACTCCACGGCATGGAAGACCCGGGGCTGGGGATTTTGGGTGACCATTGAGGTGGATGGATAGGAAAGGGAAGTGGAAACCCATAAGGTGGGGGGCCTGATGCGAAATATCAACAGTAGTGCATAATTTACATCTTTAAAAAAATCGTTTTATTGGGGGCTCTTACAGTTCTTATCACCACCCATGCATCCATCCATTATGTTAAGCACATTTGTACATATGTTGCCATCATCATAATTGATTTAAATTTTTTCCCTTCACGTCTTATACTGACCGCTGTCTCTCTTCACTTACTTGTCTGTTGTCCATCCCCCTAGGAAGGGGTTATATGTGGATCGTTGTGATTGGTTACCCCTTTCTCCCCCACACCTTCCCCTCCCCTCCAGGTATCTCTATTCTCATGATTGGTCCTGAGGGGGTTATCTGTCTTGGATTCCCTGCATTGCGTGCGAGCTCTTGTCTGTACCAGTCCACGTGCTCTGGTCTGATCTGTAAGGTAGAATTGAGGTCAGAGAGCCTGTTCTGGCCCCGCTCACTGCTGCTACAGAATGGACCAGAGGAGAAGAAGTAAGCCACACACACCACCCGAGAGGACACGTCCACAGAGCATCCAGACACATGGCCAGCTGGGAGGTCTGCAGGCCAAGGGGTGAGGGGTGGGCCCCACAGGCTCATGGGTGGCCGTGTTTTCCAGGGTCTCGGGAGGGTAGTTACAGCCTCTTTGAGACAGACAGTGAGGATGAAGAGGCCATGGAGGAAGCCGAGCAAGAACGGAAAGACGGTGTCCCGAAGCCCCACACGGCCTTCCAGGTAAGCTTTCTCTGAGAGTGCCCCGGAGCTCAGTGATGCACAGGGGGTGCCCACTGTAGTTTGGGTGGCGACCGGATGCCCCAAAGCTCGCCAGACCCTCAGCATCCATCGGTGCGTGTGGTCCACCACTGGACACCTGGGTCCACCGAAATAAGCCCCGCCCACTGCCCATGAGTCGTGACCGCCCACAGGGCGGAGTAGAACTGCCCCCTAGGGTTCCCAGGGCTGTACATCTGTACGGGAGCAGGCAGCCCCATCTTTCTCCCCGGGAGCGGCTGCTAGGTTCAAACTGCTGACCCTCAAGAGTTGGGTGGTCCCCCATCTTGTAAGCCGCGTCCTCACCAGTCTCCATCCTCAGGAGCTCAGGCTTTGTGGCACCAGAGGCCAATTTACCGGGTCCTGGAAAGTTGCTGCCAACTCCGGGTGCCCCGATGTGGTACAGGAGGACAGAGTGGTGCACCATCTGCATGGGTACCTGGTGGCTCGAGGGCCAAGCTGCAGCCACACTGTGTGCTGAAACCCACGAGGTCTGGAACTCGGCGGGCCTGCCTCGTTGCTCCGGGCCCTCGCAGGGCGCAGTCTGACCACTGTCTGGTCCCTCGCGGTGGTAGGAAGTGTCCGCGCTTTCTTCTCCGAGAGGTTCATGCCCTCCAGAACCTTCTCTGAGGCCCCTCTTCCAGGCTGACGTCTGCCGGTGCTCTGCTGTGACCCGCGAGTCTTCATTGGCTAATTGTCAAAAGCCGATCTCGCCAGGCAGGTGTTTTGCTTCCTCGTTTGTCCTCACCGAGGGCTTCCACTGACACCTGTCCGTCAGGGGCCACCTTGTGCTGCTGTTAGAAATACCAGGGCACGGCTTTCCGAGTCACCATCACACACAAGCCACTGCTCACAAAGGGGCCCTGGTGGCGTCGGGGGCTATGAGTTGGGCTGTTAACCCCAAGGTCAGCAGTTCGAAGCCCCTGCTCACTCCCTGAGGTTTTCTACTCTGGGAGCGATGTATAGCCTTGGGAGCCACAGGGGCAGTGCTATACTGTCCTGCAGGGACGCTGTGAGTCTGAATCTACTCGATGGCAGGGAGTGAGCTCCTTGTGAGTCCCTGCCACCAGGAGCTCACTTGAAGGAGCCCTTCCTCGGCTTTGCACTGTGTGTATGGGGGTGCCCCTCCTTTCTTCTTATTAGCTGGGGTGCTTCTCTCCCAAGTGGGCATTCTAGCTGAAACTAATTAGGTAAATTGCTTGAAAAAATATTTAAGGGTGAGAAGGATTCCCATAGGCCCTCTCTCTGCTCCTTTCTTTAGGGACACCTCACTTCCAAACACACACACACACACACACACACACACACACACACACACACACACCTGTGGCCAAGCAGGTGCAGGAAAGCTTACCAGTGCCCTCACCTTGACACCAAGCAGGCTGCCTCTTCCAAGGATGAGGGACCAGATCACCCCAGACACTCCGTTTGGGTTGACTTGGATGTCCCGATGTTGAGATGCAACACGAACCCCTCTCTTTAAATTCACGAACCCCTGCTAAGAGTCTTCTCTCCCAAATAACGAACAGACCACACAGAGAGAGAGGAGTCACAGGGAACAAACATGACATTGATTTCCCGTCTCCCCGGAGGGGTCTCATTTGCTGGGATGTTTATGATTTAAGGCTCGCCGACCACAGGACGCATGGTTAGAGATGGCTCTAATTAGACGGTGTGACCTTTAAGGGAGAGAAGGCAGATCTGGGCCCGGCGATGTCCACAGCCCTGGGTGATGTGCGGCTTTCTCCCTGCAGCTGGCTTACCACGCCTGGACTAATAGCCCCAAGTCCGTGTTGAGGATGAGGAGGCAGGACGAAGAGGAGGCCTGGGAGAGCCGCCCAGAAGGTACTGGTGGCAGTGCAGTGGGTCTGTGTGGGGCCTTTGACCCCCAGATGCCTGCAGCTCTGGCTTTCCACTGGATCCACTGACAGCCCACGGGCTGGGTGGGAGGATGAGCTCGTGGGTAAGGATGCCCGTGGGGCTTGGATCCACCCTCCTCCTGACATGGGGTGCTATGGGGGTGACCGGTGTGGGAACAATGCGTCCTTGCTGAAGGGCACTTGGTGAGCCTCAGACGCGGGCAGGGCGGTAATGGGCATTTCCCAAGCGTATTGGCACGAAGGCTTGACCTTTGAGGCGCGGTGAGGAGACGCCGAGAGCAGGAACTGCATGCTCGGCCCAGTGTCCATTCTTCCTTTAGCGTCGCGGGCGGGCACTGCGCTCCGGGCACAAGAAGCAGGAGTCAGCCCAATGCCAAAGGCTCCCCTCCCTCGATAGACCTGTTTGTCCTGGTGTCCCGCACAAAGCAGGCTTGACATGAACGCCTATAGCCTGCCAGGGACAACCCACAAAGCACCCGCCATGGCCCAGCGATGCCCCCAAGTGTGCCCACTGTGTGAGCTGTCTTCCAGGGGGTCCATGGTCCCCAAGGCCCACCCACACCTTCACCCAAGACACCCACACAGCCCGACGGGGAGGCCGTGGCCTTGAGAGCAGCACCTCCATCAGACATCTCTTTCTTCTGCTGGTGTCCCCCCAGGAGGTGAGCGGCTGGCAGCCCGCGAGGCCGAGGGTCAGGCTGAAGCAGGGCACACAGATGAGCCTGGTACGTATGGTAGTCCCATCACAGGACGGAGGGGCAGGGGGCTGGAGCTCCAAGAGCAAAGAAGAGCCACCTCTGTGTGAGACTGCTGAAGTCCCTGGGGACCTCTCCTAAATTCCCTCCCAATGGATGGAAGTCACCTGGGAAAGCCCGTTCCTGCCGGCCACTCCGACCCACCGGGAGCCCTCGGGACAGACCTGCCATGATCATGGTGTCTCCTGGTTGTTGTCCTCCTGGGGGCAGGTGGCCAGGTGCCTTCTCCATGGAGTCCCTGCTGGGTTCCACCCCCGGGGCGCTGCCTTCAGCTCACAGCCAAGGGTGAAGCTAACGCACCCTGGGGCGAAAGGGAAGTGTGAATGTGGGGACCCCTCTTGCTCTAGCCCTTATGGCTTGACTTGGGCTCTGCACCCCTGGGAAGAATGGGGCTCAGGGACTGGTCTGGACCCCTAAACCAAAGCCAAATTCGCCGAGTCAATTCCGACGCAGGCTGAGCCTCTAGCAGAGAGTAGAACTGCTCTGTGAGTCTCTGAGACGGCGACTCTTTACGGGAGTGGAAATTGGCCTCTTCCTCCCGGAGAGAGGCTGCTGCCCTGTGGTCACACCCGCTCTGCCACCAGGGCTCCAGCTCCCTGCTTCCCAGCGCCAGCCTCTGCGTTGGAGCGATGGTGTGGGGGAAGGACATTACTCGATAACAGGGGAACCTTCTTTTTCTGGATGTTGGAAGGCTTTTAGGGGCGACACGTTCAGCTTCTAACCACACCTTCAGCAGTTCGAAACCACCAGCCG